AAAGGTTGCTGTAGAGAGACCCATTATCGTACCTCATGGTTGAGAGTAGCTGTAAATGCCTACAAAACAAAGAGCTGTACTTCCATCCTCTTGACTGAAGTTAGGCATCAAATGAATGTGTTACCAAGGAAAAATCAGCCATCAGCCCTGATGTTCTACTGTTACGACATGAATGACCGTTGATGGATTTTCTCCTATTTAACCTAATTTAGTTCTTTTTAAACAACTGCCTCACATATTTGCGATGAGGCAGCTTGGGTGAGGGATCAGTGATGCTGTAATAAAAATGCGTCATTTAGTTTCAAACAACGGAAGTAGTAACTCTAAACCCAACGCGTAGAAATGACTTAATATATAAATCAGCGGTACACTACGAATGCTACTGGCTCGACACAAGGTCAAGTCGCGCCAATGAATAAGAGTATTTGGGTGGTTGAACTGCAAAGACTAGCAACTTATTCACCATCGAATCCATATTGTTTTACGGCCTTAAAAACAACTTGCAAATGCACAAAAAGACGTTACTTGACAGCTAGCAGCTTCTTTGTCATGAAGCCACTGATGCAGGACCTGGTTTGAAAACATGCCCCTCCCTCCGCCACTTTGACCCAGCACAGGTATTTCCGCAATCAGTTATGTGCGTGCAGATTAAAACATTATCTAGTTTTTAGCGCCACCGCTCAAACGAACCTTTCAACGCTTCCCTTTAGGAATAAAGCAAGCTCCGTCGCTACAGCGCCTGGCGTGTTTCTGTACAATCAAAGAAAGCTGCGCAAACCTAGGTTAGTGTGGCACCGGAATCAGACGATACACAGGTCCAAGCCTTGTGGATTTTTTTGCAACCTGATTATCAGTAAAGCCAAAACAGTAATTGAAAGTAATCTTAACCTTCGTATCCAACCTTGGTTAAAATATCCCATGTGCATTCCATTACTCAATCACTCCACCACCTCCAGTCCTTCCCTCATTTCTTCCAATTACACTCGTCTTCACCATAATCAGTGTGTATCGGTGAATGTGAAGAAGTGTACCACTACACCTCTACTTCAATAAAGCCTGTAACCCAAATGGCCTCCACCGACTGCTTTTCACACATCACGAATTGTTGAAAGTAGTGCAGTTGAACCAATGAAGTGACCTTCTCAGTGGAATGAGTTTTAATATGGTGATACAAGCACTGGTTCTGTGGTATCCTTCCCCTTCACAATCTCATTATTTGCACTGGTAAATTACCATTGGCTTCTTTGAGGTGTGAGATGCCATTTTCGAAGTCGTCTCCTGCTTCCTTAATTCTGCATCACGGTCTTGGTAGTCAGAATTGACCAACCCGAGTCTCACTCCGTGGCATCCCATGGGGCAGACTCCCAACACTGACCTCACCAATTTCCGGCTCTGGTCTTGGAATCGTAGACGGAGTCTGATTTGGCTGATTCTATGCTTACATACATCCACTCACAAAATCAGTAACTTTCTGGTGGACTACTCCTCGCTATGGTATAAAACTAAACTCTGTTGCCAAAGCGTTTGCCCTAAATCAACTGTTCCTCCCCAACACCGGAGAGTGTTGAAGGTGAGATTGATCCTAGGCCTATTCTCACACCCTGATTCGGTGTACAATAACTTTGCGAGCTTAAATACATGTACCAAAATACAAATTTACATTCAGGTGTTATGCAGCAGCGTCATATTTGGTTGGAGAAATTCTCGTTCATGGCGCATTTTCATTTCAGAGCATCTATTCCTCATCAAACACAATTCGCGTTGGTTTTAGCAGTCCGTCATCCACCACCGCTGCCACGGTCGGCTTCTGGAGCTGAGCTGGTTGGTGTTGTTGTTGATCTGCTTTCCTCCGACGTTTGGCCACCTGAACTCGCCGTCGCCGCTCCGCATCGCCCGCCTTTGCCACCGCAATAGCTTCACAGTATTCGCGTTCCCTCTGGCCCTCAAGCACATTGGTAGTGAAAGTAAGGCCTCGAGCGTTTACTCGTCAGGCATGAGGTGTAGAAGGTGTGGAGATAAAGTCTCTTCCTCCCGCCTGGTTGCGTATGCTACAGCCGACAATGAGGTAATGAAACAAGTTTCCCCTTTACAGGTGACTCTTAATCACGTGGGAGGTTTGAGATGCGTAACCACCCAAGGCCACGATGGATGAATGAATGGATGGCATGTGACTTGACGGAATCACTTGTCAGCGTCGAGAGGCAGTAAGGAGACCTCCATAACGAGGATGCAACACACTCGCCTTCTACTCTACTGGGCTTACTCTCTCCAAACTTGTGCCACTAACAGCGTGTTGGGACAGGGGGGCGTGGGGTGACGATATTGTGAAATATGCCCTACACTGTCTACTGCCCTACAAAGTGAATAGTGCAATAAAGCAAAAACAACGCCCCAGTATTGAAAAAGTAAGCCACCACAAAGGTCACCAAGCCATTCCATGACCTTGAAGACAGCCAATCAGAAAAACAGAAAGCGCAAAGGAACATAACAGTGACGTCATTCAAAGTGAAACTGAATTCCATTCTTGAACTGGTCTGTAATCCGGCCAGGGAGACCCTTTATTACGTCATCTGACCCTTCCCTGGCCTCATTTCTACCCACTCGCTCCCACTGTGACGTCATCTGACCTTGAACTGGCCTGGAATCCGGCCAAGGGTATTCGTTTTGCGAAAATTGGACCCTTTTCTTGGCCTCACCTCTGCCCCGTAGCCTCTATATGACGTTTTCTAGCGTCTAATTTGCGTCATTTTCTGCTTAGAGCCTCTATTTTTGTAATCTGTTTTAGAACTTTCCTGGACTTTATTTAGGTATCCGTATACGTGTAGTTGTATCCTCTGCTCTCTTCTTTTCCTTTTTAAGTTCCATTTGGAGGTGTTTTTATCGCTGTGCGTCCTATATCCATGGAAAATTTTGTTGTTTTGTTTAATGACGTTTTAATTTACTTTATAAAATTAACATTTTTCCTTACTTTATATAACTAGACAGCAATAATATTAAGCGTTTTGATTTATTTAAAATAACTTTTCAATATGCATTTTTTAATTTATTGGATTTCCTGATTTGACAGTAAGTCTTTTTAATTTTTTTTTCTAATTGTATAAAAAATGTCATAATTGTTCTTAAAATTTAAAAAGTTTTTGCTGCTTTGTATTTTATTGTGATGTAATTTTCGTATAAATTGCCACATGGAAGAACTTGTCTATCTGCCTCAATATCAATAAGCGGATTTGTTTATATAGAAAGATAGATGTCACTTTTTCCTAAACAAATTGACCAAGCTCCAGTTTACCAACAATAATTAATGCATGTTCTTGCCTGAAATTGTTCCCTTTCATTTGCTACCCCGTTTAAAGTCACTGGGCAACTCTCAAGTCTCCACCATTACTACACTTTAGAGGTTCGATAAGGTGCTGGATGCTGTGACAATTCAATATTCTGTGCCATTCCGATGGCGCACTGGACGAAGAGGAACATTACTCTTGCGAATAGCATCAGCGACCAATCAGAAGGAGCAGACTCGTCCCATGTCATGCGCATACTGATACGATTGGCTGAGTGTTTTTGTCAACGCTACTCGCGTGATTTGACAGCATGCCTCCAGAAGCATTGGCGCGTGCCTAAAAATTAAATTCCTAGATGCAACAAATGAAGGCTATTTAACAATTTCGGTAACGCTTGCTTCAGATGTTTAAAAGGGAAGCACCGGAAGCGATATGGCTTCTAGCAATAAATGGAACTAAGGACTTACTGGGCTTTAAATTAGTGCAGTCGAATCATCCATCTGGGACCGCTTTCTTTGATCAAAGGAAATATTATTCCAAAAATTAAAGCCAAACAATATAGATCAAATAATTTTTATTTAGCGCAAAGTCAACTAAACGGCATTGTTAAAAGGCCTTTTTCAAGTATAATTTTGTTACAAGTGTGCACCATTACATAACCCAGCATATAGGGGAACATTAGCGTTCTGTTCTCAATGAGTCATTGCAAACTAAAATCTATGTTTTTAACCTTCACCGGAGATGTACATGTGTCGTCCTACAATTGCGGAGTGTAGAATGCAGGGCGGTCCTTAATATGCTGCGCGTTCCGGCCCATTACAACCCAACTTTGAGTCGAACGCAATAACGACTGTCACAACTGACAAAAGAGGAAAGTAGGCGAACAGTTGGGTCAGCTCCTATCATCGAAAATATAATACATCATGATCCTACTCAATCACATACCAAGGCCTTTGCTTTGCCTTATGACACTGTCATCATACATCCTAAAGTCAATAGTTGATCATAATCATAAAAACAACTGAAGCAAATGTCCCTCGATACAAAAGTTTTGTCTCTATCACTGCCAAATTGACACAATGTATCAAATCAAGAGATTAAGCTTGATCTAGCCAGCAGATTAATTTCATCAGAAGAAAAAGAGATGGCAGTTGAAGGTAAGGCGTCGTTATATGTCAATACATACCGAGGAACCTATATACTGAACCATCTTATATATCAAAAATTGCCCTGAGGCATAGTTCATGGGGCGGTTTACCATGGGTCTTCGTCTGTGGATCGACTTCAGGAAGCTGAATGATGTACGGGAGTAAATGATTCGTTAGACTCTTCACATGGGTTAAGGCAGTTCGCCACGACAGACCTAAAATCAGAATGCTAATAGCAGTAGAGAGAGAAGCGGATGGAAAGAAGAAGAATTTGTTTGCCTTTGAACAGGCTCTATGTATTCCCAACAACACATTTGGGTCTCTATGGTCCAGCCACCAATTCTCAATTCCTTATGCATACCGCACTATTTAGATTAATCACGAAATCCCTCACAATACACTTGTATGATATCCCTGTCCTCGGTTGGGGCAATGGGCGGCATAATACCAAGCTAAGATTGATTTCAAACTGTCTACGAGATGCAGGTCAACTCTGTATCCAGAGCAATGCCACTTCTTGCAGCGTTCGGTCAGCTTTATGGAAAGTTCCGGAAAGATGGCATGTTAGCTGTGCACCAGTACCGCGGTTCCATTTATATCGCTTTCTACGCGAACTTTGGATTATGGGAAATTCATTATCAGTCCAAGTTAAATATTACTTTCCAAGGTGGTTCTACTTTTATTTCAAATCAAATCTGTACAAAATTTTGTAAAGTAATCTAAGCAAAATCTTGAATATTCACTTTCAGCATTTGGCCTGCCGTTTACAAGTTGACTACAAATAAGGTCAACCTCATAACCCAGGAATTTCTACGATTTTCATATTTGATGCTATTTAGTAAACACGCGAGGCAACCTTTGAATCTAGTGTTGGGAACGACATGATGCAGATAGCACCATCACACAAGTACCGGTTACATACTGTGTTGATAGGGTGATGTTCAAAAATACTGTCCTGTGGATGATTTAAAAAAGGATTTTTCTTTTATCTACTACACTCTGCTGGTCAGCAGTCAAATTTGCGTTTATTTAATCGTGTCGCGCATCGATATGGACACTGTTCCGAGAATGATTGATGATAAGACTTCGATTTAACGTCTCTCATGGGGTGTCACACCCGCAAAACGCAGTGATTCAAGATTCTCAACAGATACTTGTACAGCACATTTTACGCTGAATGGTAGCGCTATACTGGAACTGTTAATGAGACCACGAAATGCACATTTTAGTAAAATGCTACAAGTATCAGAATCCTCCGGAAGTTGACCTAATTTCGTTCGTTAACACTGATTTATTCGAGTACAGAAGTGTGGATTAAAAAGATATTTCCATACTCACGAAATTGCCTGAATGATTTTGTTGTCTGTTTTTCGACTGCACCTGCAATCTGGCCCAAAGCACTGTTCTAAATTTGGCGGTAGGACGTCAAGTAAAATCAAATGATCATGCAGCTTAATCTCAACCCATCAGTCGAATCCTATGACCTTACAAAACATGCAGTGATCCGTGATGTGACTAAACATCACCCGTTACCCTTTTGCGGGTGTGACAGGACGTCAGATGACACTACAACATTGTCTTGGTAACAAAAATAATTCGTCTTTATGCTCATTGCAGTGCAGCACGCATTGCGTCTGGGCACATGGAAGAGGTACAGTAGTAGGAAGCTAATGTATGGTGTTAGAGTTACACTTCGTAGGATGTGGGTGTGGATGTGAATTAGGCATCTGTCGCAGTAGAACGTGTGTAGTGGCAAAGAATGGCACTTTACAGAGTAGAGTATTGAACTGACCGTGCAATATCCTGTGCTCAATATAGGCACAAGAAGGGAAGCGTGTAAGGGGTATGGGAGCTTAACAATTTATTTTGAGTAAGTTTTTAATCTGTCTGACATGAAGATAATGGCATCAGTAAAGGATATGCCTAAATTAACTCCATTACATTGATTGCTTCATGCTCTACAGCTGGCAATATCTTCACCACCCTCACCGGGCAGCATCGCTTTTCTTTGCGGTCACACTGAAAAAGAGATGATCTTCTTCCTTCGTGTGGAGTCGATACATTCCGATGGAACGGAAGGGCACAAGGATGCAGACCATCGATTTCGCGCAAGTGCGCCTCCTTAGACGCGCATTACACCCATGCAGCCAGTAGGAAGCGTGCTTGCATCTGATTGGCTTACACAGAGACAAGCACCGCGACGGTAGTTGGATTGAGTTAGATTCACTGGGGGCGCATTTTTAACTTCATCATTCTGTCAAGCTGAAGTTACAGCGATGCAAGCACCACGGTTTTACGTAGTAGAGTTCATTAGCCAAGGCTGTTATTCCGTGGTTTACAAAGCAAAATTCCACACAAGGAGGTGATATGACTACGTCATATGCAATGAAACGATTTTCCCTGCAAAAATTCACAGCTGTTAGGTGTGTGCTCTGTGAACACCACATTCTTGTGTGGCTCGCACTGCATCGCCAGCAATCACCCTTCCTGCCCACTCATTCTACAGTTTTCTTATTCACGGATCACCCACTTTCGTGATGCGCAGAGGTAGCAGTCTCGATCGCTTTGCACTGGCTTGCCATCTTAAGCACGAGCCTGAAGGTGATGCACGATTTTATTCATGCGAAATTATTTGTGGTTTGCAGTGTCTTCATGCCATGCACATTGTGTAC